TTTTTATATTACTGTGTACAAAATGTGAGTAACCAGATAAAATTGTGTTATTAAATCAAAAATTATACCAAATTTTGCTTATTTAATTATATATTTCGCTATTTTAACAAAATTTTAGAATAAAACTTGACTTTTGTAAATAATTCTCTGTTTTTGTTACCATTAGTATATCTTTTCTTTCAGTGTAGTTTAAAAGATAAAAGTTAAGTTACAAAGTTAAATGGTTTTAACTTAATTTAATTACATTTTATTGATTACTATTAACCTTTGATTTAACTTGCTTAAAAATTACATTTTTAGTGCTCCTTATGTAAACTCAAGAAAAATTATATTTCGGCGTTTATGTCTTCAAACTCGAATTTGAAAACGCATATCAAGGCAAGTTGTACAGTAAATATAGTCTGGCCGCGGGAAGGAATCGATATTCGTAGACCTTCTATACATTGAATCATGTTGTAAGAAGTCCCTCGAAATCGATTTTCTTTCTGCAGTTCGACGGAAATAAGTATAACAAATGTACACTTTATTTGAAAACCCTAAAATTATGAAATAAAAAACTTAACTTTTAACTTTTTAATTACTTTTTTATCAATTGAACTTTTAATTTAATTAATCTTACTATGAATTAACTTGTATGTTAACTAACTTAAATTTTTAAAAACTGTTAACTTTAGCTTAACTTAGTTAAAAAAAATAATTAACTTACCCAACCCTATGAAGTGCACTAAAAAAATTTATTTTTATTTATATAAATACTATTTTTAATTTAACATCTTGCGAAATAAATCTCTTGCGGTAACATCTTGCGAAATAAATCTCTCTCGAAACAAAGACATCTCTGGGTTTTGCGTAACCGTCCACGTCGGTCAATATTTCTTATAATAATTCAATATAGTCTGCTGAACAAAATCATAGCGCGCATGGCCAAAGACTGGAAGGAATGCAATATTTCGGATGGATACACGATGGCCAGAATAGCTTATGTATGTCGTTGGGTCTGCAACATCATAATCTGCTCGCACATGACGTCAGCATTCTTCTACGCAGCAGGCACATTAATGAAGATGAAAAACGAAAATCAAACTGAAGCTCGAGAGCTCCTTGTTAAGATGGAAATACCTTTCGCGATTGAGAGCACATCGGTACATGTAGCTGTGTTTATTATACAATTTATTCATCTATTGATTGCGGCTGCTGTGCTGGGCGTAATGAATTCTTTGCTGATAATATTGGTAAGTTTGAGCGTTTGTTCGTGATTTGCCAGCGTTTCTGGAAATGAAAATAATTACTGTAAAACCTAAAATATTTCATGTGTATAATAAAAAAAAGATGTATTGATTATACAAATTTAATTCTTTGTGAAATAAAGTTATACAAGCAGACGCAAAAAGAAAGAGGCATACAAGCACTCTTTCATTTTGCTCGATTTATTAATTCTGATCCAGACTAAGCAAACGAGTGCAAACAAACACAAATGATCGTCACCAGTTTGCACTCATTAAAGCAACTTATTCATTCACGTTTGTTTACGCTCGTTTGCTCTGAATCCAGATTAAGACGTTAAATTAGACTGAAAACACACATTGCAATGTTTAGGTTGTTCACGTGTGCGGACAGATTGATATAATGCGGCTGAAATTGAGTGAAATTACGCAGAAGAACATCGAGCGGAAGAACATCAGGCATAGTGTGCGCGAGAACGTCGTGAAAACTCTGATCGTTCAGCACCAGCAGATTATCACCTTCTCCAAGAACATCGAGGCTCTCTACTCGAATATCGCGCTGATACAATTTGGAACGAACACTCTGGTTATCTGCTGTTTAGGATTTATTATCATGATCGTAAGTACATTGAATTAATATTAATTCCTACGAGATATAAAGTAATGAGAAAATTTTAGTCTATCAGTGTCCCGGGCGGATCGATAATGTTAGTAAAATCCGTGTTCTTCTACATTGTTATGAGCTTGGAGGCATTTGTATATTGTTTTGTCGGAGAACATCTCAGAACAAAAGTCCGTATATAATATATTATATCCTATATACGGTATCTCATATACGAGATGCTTTACGACAAAGGTTTATCATATTTTAGAGCAAAATGATCGGCGACGCGGCGTACGAATCGCTTTGGTACGAACTGAGCCCGAGTCAAAATCAAGATATCCAGATCATAATCGTAAGATCTCAAAAACACTTGACGCTCACGATAGGAAAAGTCGCGGAACTCTCCTTGAAGCAATTTGCCAACGTAAGAATTTAGCAAATTTAATAGAAGTAAGAGAATTTTTTTTAATTTACTCTGAAAATCATGTTAATCGTACGACAACATATAAGTATTTTGATGAATTTTATTTGTTTTTTACTATATACTATAACAAAAATTATTGTAGTGCACAGTAAAAAAACAGAGAAAATCATATAAAATTTGTCAAAATACTATGTTGTATCATGATTAACATGATTTTCAGCGTAAATTAAAAAAAAATTTCTTATCATTCTCTTCGTGAACGATGAAAAACATTTGTGTGTTCTCACGTATTTCGTAATCGTTGCATCCTGAGATGATATTCGGGTACGATCATTATAATAGTTTCTATCATGTCGTAGATCATAAAAGCTTCGGCGTCATACGTGTCGGTGTTGCACGCGATGTATTGAGGCCTAAATATGTACTTTGAATGGCGCTTGTAGAATATCCTCGCATGTAAAAGGCTGTAGTACTTACTTTTACACAACTGACAATTTTCCCATTTAGAGAGTCAATTGGGTTTCGTATTAAGTGTATGCGAGTAGAGAAACAAGAAAGTTATTTACTAAAGCATCGATTCGTGATAATCTTGGTTTGTAGTGCATTAAGCACAGAGCTATAAATACAATGTTGATTTTCTCGTTCAATGTACTTTGTCAGATATAATAAAATTAAAATAAAAGCATTTTTTTAAATCAGAAATTTAATTTAATTGTTTAACGTCATAAAAATTTTTTTATATTATAACTAAGATCAAATTTAAAAGACTTTTTTTTAAGAATTTATTTCCATGTATAAAAAATTAATTTCAACACTATTAAATCTATAGTGTCAAACTGAACCTTATTAATTATTAAGTCGCTACTGCTCTTACTTAAATAAATAGTTCTTTTTTACTAAAATAATATTGAGTTAAATAATTTAAAACAGTTCAAATTTAACTCAAATTTGAGTTAAATTCCATTGTTTTATTTAAAAATAATTATATTGTTTTAGTTAAAAATAACTTATTAAATAGAATTTATTGAATAGAAGCAGTGGTATTATATAAAGTTCAGTTTGATGCTATAGATTTTAACAGTGAAGGATATCTAAAAATGTAAGTTTAAATATATTTTTAAATATAATAATAAAAATTACCAAAAAATCAATCTTATTTTTATCACATTTCTTATATATATTTTTATTGCAATATTAGTATAAATATAATATAAATTTATTGATTTAACAATTAAATTTTCGATTTAATAGTTAAAGATGTAATGAACAATATTGTACAAAAATAGTTACAATTTTATACATATATATATATATTGAAATTCTTATTTTTATATAAAATATAAAGAAATATCACCCGCTAAGCCGTATTTTTCTTGGTCGCGTAAGCCTGCAGCAGCACCTTCTCGGAATCTCCTACAGCATCAACTATGATCTTCGCACTGGTCTTTCCATTGCGACGAATTTCCGAGATACGTCTTCGTTTTCCTCTCTAACGAACTCCTCCGATGTGCTTCCCCAGCGAGCTTCCTTTCAACGCGGTGAGCAGTTCTTAGAAGTTGTGTTCCACCTATCTTGCTCATTGCATTTTTAAAGAAAACGTGCAGTTATTGCGTTGTGATCGCGGTAAGTAACTCGATAGATGAAGGGGACGACCCCACTGTTCATGTTCATCGTTTATCAGATTATAGTTG